GTCCTCCTTCTCCTTCCCCTCGCCGTGTGCGTGACCACCCCCATCCTCGTCACCCCCCTCCCCTATCCTCGCCGTGCTCTTTGCTGCCTCGTCCCCGTGCTCGTCCTACTCTCCCTCATCCTCCCTCCCTCCGTCTCGCTCCTCTTGTCGCCGATGCTCCTTCCGTGTGAGACTTTCATGAGGCCTTGTGGTCACCACCCACCAAACCACCCCAACCCAACCCGAAGGCTCAGATTTACCCTCGATTTCCAGTGGGGGGGGGTCGGGAAACATCGAAAAAACACATATGGAACCCTTAGCCCCCCCCAACCCGAAATTCGGGTCTTCGGGTTGGGTTGGGGGCTTTGGGATCTCTTGGAGCCGTCTTTGGGTCCCTCTCGGGGCTCGCACGGGGCCCTCTTGGGACGTTCTTGGGACCTCTTGGTCGCCTTCGTCGTGGGTCCTCGACGAATCGAGCAGCCCACTTGTTTTTGGTTGTTCCTGTTTTGGCGGTCATGGCCCCCTCTGGATGTCTCGTGAGACACTCTTGTGCCATCCTGTGGCGCTCTTGTTTGGACTGTCTTGGGGCTCTCTCCGAACGTTCTGAGCGCAGACATGGTATGGTTTGACAAACACGCATACGTAGTGCCTGTTATTTGGGAGAGAGGGGGCATAGTGTTCACTTCGTAGATCAATGTATACATACATACATGCATACATACACGCACATACGTACATACAAACATACACACATATACATACACTCATACATCCACTCATTCATACATACCCACATTCATACACACATACACACATACACACGCGCATACACACATACACACAATGACACAATGTCACATACATACACACAATCACACATACATACATACAGACATACATACATACATACATGCACACACATACATACACACATGACTACATACGTACATACATAATACAATCATGCATGCACACATCCGTAGATCCATGCATAACGCGACAGTACACACATACACATACATACATGTATTCGAACGCACGTGTGTACGTACAGACATGCATGTATACATGCAACCGTACACACATACACGCGTACTTACGTTCGCACGTCCATCCATCCATTCATCTATCCATCCATCCATCCATACATATATCTTCGCATCCACCCATCCACACATACATACAAACAGACATGCATGCATGCATGTACGCATCCATACGCATACACACTCAAGTATATGCACGCATGCATACACACATACATACATACAAACATACATGTACACGTTCTTACGCGCATACATGCATACATACTTGAACACACACATACATACATGCATACATACAAGCATGTTTACACACGTATATATGCACACACGCATACATACATACAGGCATGCAACCATACATCCATCCATCCATACATACAGCTATACATACACACCTACTTACATTCATGCATCCATACATTCACATCCACACACATACATACATACATCCATACACACATTCACACCTACATCCATCCATCCACCTGCACGCACTTGCATACAAGCAAGCGCACAATCATACATCCATGCACATGTACATAGGCGCGCACATAAACAGGCCTGTCCATACATTCATGCACATGCATGCATGCATGCATGCATGCATGCGTGTACGAGTGTATACATACATGCATCCATGTGTACATCCATACATACAGACGCGCACACGCACATCCATACACACACACACACATCCGTACGTCCATCCATGCATGCATACATACATACATACATACGCACGTACATATATACGTACATACATGCATACACATACACATGCACATACACAAACTGTTGTAGATTGTATTTGCTGGGGTCAGGGACCCCCGTGTGCAGGAGTCAGCATGTTAGGGCAGAGAAGGAGCAAGCACTGCAGGTCCTCTGGCTTCGAGGGTTGAGAGGAAAAGCCTCGATATTGCTACATGGTAGCGGAGCGTGGTTCCTGTGCCCACGGGAGCTGAGCTCGCTCGCCGCGCCCAGACCTCCTGCCCGTGCTGGCGGAGATGGCGGCGATCGATGTCGTCGACGTTCGGACCGACATGAGGCTTCAGAGGTTCGACGGTACGGACGAGAGATGGGCAGACTGGAGCCTCAGGTTCGAGGCCTACACCGCGCTGCTTGGCATGGAGGACCTCATGACGGAGGCGGCCAACAGGCGCGACCCACTGGCAACGGACCAGCTGGGGGACCAGGCGAGAGCGGTCAGCCAGAGGCTCTGGCACCTGCTGATCACGTGGTGCGACGGCAAGTCGCTGGGTGTGGTCAAGCTCTCGAGGAAGAATGGCCTGGAGGCGTGGCGGCAGCTCAAGATCGAGTATGAGAGCAAGTCGGGCAACAGGTGGACGGCCATGCTGCGCTTCATCCTGAACCCTCAGGACAAGTGGGCGAAGGATCGGGAGTCGGGCATCGACTTCTTTCAGTCTCTCACGGCGTGGGAGGCCATCGTCGCAGAGTACGTGGACCAGGAGCGGCGAGGCGGTCTCGGACAACGTTCGAGTCAGCGTGCTGCTAGAGCACGCGCCAGAGCCGTACCGTGAGGTCCTTCGGCAGGCGCCTGAGGAGGTGAAGCTCACGTTCGCAGCGGCTCGGAGTCACATCAGGGGCTACTACAATCGAGGGCGGACGTTCACCCACGTCCCAGACACTGGCGGGGTCGTGCCGATGCAGGTGGATGCAGTTCGAGTTGGACCGCATGGCGGCAAGTCGCACGGGAAGTCGGGCAAGACAGGCAAGATGGACAAGTCAGGGAAGGCTGGCAAGAATGTGAAGGGCTGCGAGGACTCGAAGACGAAGTCCAAGAACCGCGACGGCAAGCAGGGCCATGGCAAGGGCCAGTCCGACTACTTCGACGGCGAGTGTGGCTACTGCGGCAAGTGGGGCCACAAGCGGGCCGACTGCAGGAAGAAGAGGGCAGATGAGGCCAAGAAGGAGACTGGCAACACGCGCGCGGTTCAGGGAGATGGATCGGCCTCGAGCTCGGGACAGCAGCAGTCCGAGGGCGGGGTCCGCGCCGCGTCGGGCTACTACGACGGCGTTCCCGACGGCTGGGTGTTTGCGGTCTCAGCGGCGACGAGCGGCCAGGTGGCGAAGGTTGGAGGCTCCATCCTGATCGACAGCGGCAGCGACGACCACCTGTGCAGGCACAAGTTCGTCCCAGAGGCCCCAGTCAACAGTGCGACGGATGCCCCCAGGCTTTTCGACGTGCAGCAGCGACCGCTGCCCACAGCGGGCCTACGGGGTGTTGAGATGACGATGCAGGAGGGCATCAAGGCGACGGCAGACTTCCTCGTTGCCGATGTGAATGACGACCTGCTGAGCATGGGCAAGCTGCTCAGGCAGGGTTTCAGGTTCAACCTCAGTATGGAGGACGGGCTCTACATGACGAAGGGTCACCGCAGCTCGAGTTGGAGCGGAACAGCCTTAGGCTCCCGATCGTGTCCGCGAGCCCTGCGCCAGCGGCCCACCACTGCTGCGGCGCGGCGGACCAGCAGCAGGCAGCGACGGCACCAGTGCTCACGGCGGAGAGCTCGGTCGGCGCGATGAGGACCAGGCTGAGGGAGCTGTTCATGCCGATCTACGGCACGAAGCTGGAGCTGTGGGAGCGGCTCATTGTGGCAGAGGCGGCTGCCAGGCGCTCGGAGGCGGAGAGGCTGCACAAGCTGGCGGTGAAGGAGCAGCTCGGGATTCAGCACGATCCAGTCGAGTCGAAGCAGCTTCCAGTTCCGAAGGCCCCGAGCGCGGAGGAGGAGAGACAGCATCGCCTCACGCATCTCCCTGCTGCTCCGTGGTGCGAGGAGTGTGTCAGGGCCAAAGCTCCTGATGCACCTCACTCGCTGGTCAGGCTCGAGGACTCAGAGCAGAAGCACCCACTCATCAGCTACGACTTCGGCTTCTGCAAGACAGCCGACGAGGAAGGGGACCTGACCAAGGTAGAGGACACCTACGCGACGATGCTGGTGGCGTTCAGCTCTGACACTGGAGTGGTGAAGGTTATTCCGTGTGCGTCAAAGGCAGCTTCACCATACGCCATTGCAGGCATCAAGTCCTTCGTGCAGAGGCTCGAGACGGGCAAGTGCAGGCTCAGGACGGACACGGAGCAGGCGACGAGGGCCATCATGGACGGCGTGGTCAGCGAGCTCGCGGGCAAGGTCACGGCAGAGCTGACCCCCAAGCACAGCAGCCAGTCGAACCCAGCGGAGGCAGCGGTGAAGATAGTCGAGGGCCAGACGAGGGTTCTTAGGCTGGACCTCGAGAAGCGCTACGACACGAAGGTGACGGCGGCCATGCCAATCTGGGCGTGGATGATGCGTCACGCTGGGTGGCTTCACGAGAGGTTCTCGAGGCGAGCTGGAGGTCAGAGCCCGCGCGAGATCGCGACAGGCACGCCGTACAAGGGCGACATCTGCAACTTCGGCGAGACGGTGCTGTATCGGATTGCGCGTCCTGCGCATCGAGGTCTCACTGGAGGTCGGCGTCTGCATCGAGGCGAGGCTCAGTGGGGCAAAGGGATCTGGGTCGGCAGGTCGGACGAGTCGCAGGAGCACCTGGTGGTGACGCCTCGGGGGCTTGACCGCGCACGGACGGTGCGACGGCTCCCTGAGGGAAGGCAGGCTGACAAGGAGCTCTTCATGACGGTGACGGGGCTGCCTTGGGCTGCGAGGACGGCCCCCGAGAGGTCGAAACGCAGGCGGGCGCCTCAGCAGATCGCGACGGAGCTACCGAGGGCAGAAGGACCTTCAGCCTGACGCTCCCCAGCCGCAGCAGGCAGGACAGCCAGAGGGCGGAGCAGCGCCTGCTCAGCCTCAGGCACCGCAGCAACCACCTCCGCCGGCAGCGGCAGCGGCTCAGCAGCCGCAGCCCCCAGCACCAGAGCCGCCGGCGCCCAGGGATGTGGCGATGGGGGCGGCGCCCTCGCAGGCAGCGAGACGTGGGGTCTCGCCAGCAGCAGAGGTCTCCGAAGGCAAGCGAGCA